TGTGAGATATTAGAGCGACTAGAGCGCGAATGGTGGAAAGGAAAGAGAACGCAATCAGAATGTATGTTTCATGTTTCCAGTTCACACTCTTTGCCAACCATATCTGCTAGCATTTATTAAATCAACACTAATTATGACTCATTTACGTTAGCTCCTTTGCCCGGCGATTTGTCTGATAGTCCAGTAACTAACCAGCCATACGACGTCGTAGCAATCCATATCACAATACCAGCTGTTCTTTATGAGAATCAGCGCAGTTCATCCTTTCCTATTCTTCGTGGCCCGCACAAATTTTCGAGCTCAACACTTCTGAAAAGTGATTTGTGTGGACCATGGTCGCTCCCAGACGGGAAGCCAATGACAAAAGATCAATATCCATTTCCTAGCAGTGGTTCAGGGAAAGATAGCGGCGGGTGGGTCTGGATAAGCACGTGGGAGATCGACATGTCTCAAGCGCGAATAGACGCCGAAGGTTGGCAATACGCTAGGAGCTTCGATGAACCAGAAGAAATGTGGACAGAGGCTCCTTCTGGTACTACCGGACGTTATGTTAGAAGGAGAAGATGGATTAGGATTATGAAACGTTTGGATGAACCAACTGACGAAAACGATTATGTTGCTAAGGCCAAAGCTGTTATCGATAAAGGAAAGACCGAGAACGGGTCATCAGCATCAGATGAACTGGAACGGTTTACGGAGGCAATAGAAATTCTCAAAGAAGGAATCGAAAGTTAGTTCATGACGTCACTATACTTATTTACCATTATTATGGGTGGATTTAGGCGGATTAGCTAGACATGGTTATAATATACTTATGCATACGACTTTAAATATTAACAATGATTTCTTTTTGTTTACCCATCTTCAGAAGTGCCGTCTAATGGCAAAACAGTAACCACATGTCAGTTATCCCAAGCTCGTTTTGATATACAATCAATTTTTATGCTTACTTCGCCGGTGATATCCTCCAAATCCACAATAGCACCTGCAGAGTCAACAAGCCATTTTACTACATCAAAATGTCCCCTGGAAGCGGCATAATGTAAAGGTGTAAGACCTGTGGTCGTTTTTGCGTTATTTGCTAACAAAAACGACTTGGTATTATCTCCGTCTGCAAATAACTCTTGTACTTTGCGTAGCTTCCCTGCTGCTGCAGCTTCATGTATATTTAACTCCTGATTACTGGATTCTAAGCCGTGTTCGTTTGTTAAATCAGAATGTGCATTCTCGGGCAACTTCACTTCTTTGATATGGCTATTCCCATAAAACCGATGTGATTCGCCGGGAATTGGTGGATGAACAGAATCGGGTATTAGGGATTGATAAAGAGGAGGCGACGATACCATTATCAAAATGTATTGACAGTGCGATCAATGTGTTTGTTTGAGGTCAAAATGACGAAAGTGTGGGGAAGAGGGTAAGCTGAGCACTAATATGGTCAGTTGCACCGAATATTGATTTGTATCGGAGGTTAAATATGGAAATCTGTATTACCCATTTGTTCCCCACCCGCCAGGGACCTGTTGTGTGTTTTGATAGTAAAACGATATCAATATAATAATAAATTTGATATCGAACCATCTACGGAAACGATATATTCTCTTTTAAACCAAGTAATTGTAAGACAAGAATTAATCTATTGGTCTAAACACGTTTTGTTTTATTATTGTTGACGAACTGTAAACCTAAAATTTCAATGCTCATCAACGCAACGTTAGTCAATAGAGGCGTTTGATTTTTCGTCGCATCCGAAAGATTACCGTATCAATCCGCAAGGCTTGTTTTTTCTTAGGTTTTGAACTAGAGGCCGCCAGTTTGTCCTCTGCGGAAAGTAAATTATCCACGTATTCGCATAGACGAATAATTCGTCCAATGTTGTATTAGCCAATTTTACCTACGTGAAGGGCCTACGAACGCCATCAATGAAAACTGCATAACAGAACCATCCGCTTGAGATTCGCAGAGTTGTTTTTGCGCCTCGTACACCCATAAAAATTTCCGTTTATTCGTTTTCTGAACTTGCAGTCGGACGTTACTCGGTGAGGAACAGGCCACTTAATGTTATGCCTTCTTTTTTTGAAAATGAAGAGGCCGCAAATTACGTTTGTCATCTAGCGCGTAATAATAGGCTTATGGCGCTATGCAGAATGCAGACATAAAAGCGGTTTCTGAAAAACTCTGCGCACAAATTACTATCGTTTGTCGTAAATTCTTTCGAGAGCGAAATAATAAAGTCGAACTGTGGTTGATCCGTTAATCCTAAAATTAAGACACATATTAGTTAAAATAAATAAACAAAACAGGAAAAAAATAACAACAAAAACAATCAAACCTAGCAATTAATGCTTCATTAATTGCCTCATCGGTAACGCTTACAGGTGCTTTTCCATGCGCACCTTGAAGCAGCATTCCAATACGCACAATAGTTTGCATGAATTTGTGTTTACCTCATACGCCTAATCTCTGAAGTCTCTTGTTCTCACGTTCATTAACATCTTTTCCAACGCGCACATATGTGTAAATCTAAGCTTATGTTCAATAGGTTGAGATTTTATCCAAACCCGTCGTGATGGACCAACACGTAAATCTTTTGTATAGAAGCGATGGTATCGACTCAGCGGACAACTGCATTATAAGCATATTTCGACAAACCCATCCACCGTTTCAATAGCTGCTTTTGAAGATGTTTCGGATAGCCTTTGATTGGCAGCGTACAATTGCGAGCTTCGTTTGTTGCGTGCTGTTGTTGTCCTGATCTTCCTAGTGTGGGGTTTTCGTCTGTGACTCCTTCTTCTTGCTTGATTGCAGGAATATTTTGGAAAAGTTTGTGTACATCGAAGGTCGCTTTGTTGACGAGAACCACAATTTTTGTAGTACGTGGGGAGTAGATGAAGTCACGGCAGTCGAACACAATGGGCAACCACAATTTCTGAGATTATGCCGCGACTTTTCCGTATTAAATTTGTAGGTTGAGAGCTGAGGGTCTCTTTTTGCTTGCACCTTTCGTGGTGTTGTCGGTGGTGGTTTTGGTGGGTTTGGTGGTGGTGGTGGTGGTGTTAACATAAAGAGTTTATGAGTTTACGATTTTGAATAACGAATGAGCTCGTTCTTTATTGTCTACACCTACGAGTAAACGCTAAAGGTGTACTTGCGCCAACACGATAGACAAATGAGCTGGGAAATATTGGTATTCGAATGACGGACTGAAAAACGCATACAATCTCATATGAAAGGTGGAAACGCATACAATCTCGAATTGACAACAAAAACTCAATTGCTGATGGCAAGAAAAAATCTGACGAATAATAGAAGAAGCTGAAATAAAGACTTCCTAATTTTTTTTTCATATTTCGCTGTATGATAGTAAATAGAAGATGCCTTTTATTATTCCCAAATCTGCTGCGGCGAGTTATTAATGACTAGTGTTGTTTCCTTATATAGACAAAACCAAAAGCTTATTATTATAGATCCATAAATAGTTGTCAGATTTATTGTTTCCCGATAAAGGTTACTGGCTTAAACAGGAAATTATGATGAGTATCCGTCATTATTAATTACGGAGAGGACAATTTACCATTTTAATAAGTCTTCCCTACACAAATACAAATTCTCCCACTCCACTCGTCTCTAAATATAACGGAGAAGGGATATCAGGCGAGAAAGAATTTTCAACAAAAGTCCGAGACGGCGGTAGGATGGGAACAATGTGGATTCAAAGTATTTAAGTGAGTTTTTTGGTGAGGAGGCGACTAGCTATTACAGTAATACAATTGTTTCATGTTTCATGACGTCACGAAATTTACTATTAAAATATTGTGTGTACCGATTGGGTAAAATATTATTATGTCGACCTTATCGAGAGAACGCTCACATTTAGAAATACGATTAATAAGTTGTTATTAGAGGAGAATATGAGCACGGCGCCACCTTCAACGTATAAACGATATATTATTCTATTAATAGTCTGGCTTATTTGTCAGCAGTTCATGATAGTTAGTGCAATAGAGGACACTGACCAGATCGACGACATTTTAGTGGCAGATTCTCCATCAAGAGTAGAAGGAGAAACAACCGAAGCAGACGTATGTATAACTTCTCGCTGCCTGATCGCCAGCTTTTGCTTTTTATTATTGTTCCTTTACATTATGCTATTCTGTATTGGACAACGTACCAGTCCTATTACAACCTTATACCATTCCTAATTGCGATTATTACTAATCCATTTGCTGCCTCCCCTCTAGCCCATCCCAAAACTCTCTAGTTGTGACGAGATAGATTTCATTTGCAAGTACAAACTGTTCAAAGAAAAAGTAGATGCCAGTCGCGACGAAATCCAAGAAGATTACTCACTTACATTTAAACAAAAAGAAGAACGAATATCTAGATTGGACGCTAAACTCAAGGGTGTAACTGCTCTCATAGACTTCACCGTTGACGTCTTGCACTTATTCGACAGGGCAATTAACGTTTCCATAATAGCCAAATCGGATCTTGAATTGAAACAAGAAACTCTTAAATTACTTTACAACTTCAAAAGCTCGATCCTAAATATATCAGACGTTGACTCGATTGAGAACATACTATACGGTTATTACCCCGATAAGAAGCAAGTCGAAGAAGACAACCCAGAATATAATAAGCATGATTCGCAAGATGGTATTGCCATGGAAATGGTTGACAGCGTACTACAGGAAGTTAAATACTCTGCCGATTTGCTCGAGGAAAAAATGCACCACAAAGGATATAGACACGCAGCGGACAATGGAAAAATACATGAAGTTGTGGAGACTGTTATTAGACTTGAAGAGTTAGAGGAAGAAGAAACAGGTGAAAACGATGATTTAACTGACGAGAATGGAAAGCATGAGAATGAAGATGGTTCGCATAGCCATGGACATGCGAAAGTGATTACTCTGATTGACAAAGAGCACAATGAATACGTTTTGACAAGGCCTAATGATTTGACAATGTTCTATGAAGGTGTGAAGTAGTTCTTGGACGAAATGTTTACCATGTCATCAAATACGGTTTGAAGTTGTATCGCTATACTCACTGTTTCCGCATATTTTTTAGACGCTCGCTTGCTGAACGATATAATACTTATAATAGTTGCAGCATTCGTACTTGGCTGGCTATTAAATACGATTGGTCTACCTGGTAATGTTTGCAACAACACCAATACGTTAAACGTTGAAGTCCTGGTTTAACAAAGTACCCCCCCCCTTTCCATTTGATGGACTTATTTATACGTACCATTTATTTGCGGGAACAACTATACTAACTAATATTTGAACAAAAAAAAGAATAATGACGAGTGAATATTTAAACGTTATATCTACATAACGGCAGACAATTGCTTTAATATAACTCCTTTCTTCGTTAAACCGGACTTCACCTTTTATAGCATGATATTGATCATATGACATTGTCTCATCATAACCCCTCGTTTTTCTTTTGCCCCTGTCGATTCATTTAGCGTTCCTTGGATATATTCTCGCAGGCTGTTTACTCGGCCCAGCAGGATACAATGTAATTCAAGAACTGATACAAACCGAAACACTCTCCCAACTTGGTGTAATATTTATCGTATTCATGCTAGGACTCGAATTTTCATTCGAGAAAATTCGAAGAACGTGGAGATTTGCGCTGGGTAGTGCGTCATTTATAATACTTGTGACATTGACTGTATCACTTATCATTGGATTCATTGTTGGGTCGAACGGGAAAGAGGCTGCCTTCGTGGGGATGTGCATATCATTTTCGAGTACAGTTGTTGTTGAACGATTAAGGTCCCAGGATCTTGAACAGCTATATGGGCCTTTAGTGATTCAGGATATAGTCTTTGGGTTGTTGTTGGTAAGTTCGATGTGATTAATGTTTAGGCCCACAAAATATTTATGATATTTTCAAACATTTTCTTACCAACACTACTATTATTCATACGCTAGGCTGCTCTTCCTGCTTTGTCCAAATCAGGCATCCAAGCTATTTTGGCGGTAGCAAGACTTTTTGTTTCTCTTGTCATATTTGGAGCATTCAGCTTCCTAGTTTCGCGTATTCTAGCTGCTATACCTCTCAAGAGGGTTAAAGGGACAAATGAATTGTTTCTTCTTGGTGCAACCTCGCTCTGTCTACTCATGTCACAAGTCGCCTGTTTTCTTGGTCTTGGCTTCGAGATTGGATGCTTTGTAGCAGGAGTTGTCATACATACTCGTAAACCTAATTTTGAATCACCTGTCAATATAATCGAACCCGTGAGAGACATATTCTCCTGTCTCTTCTTTGCGAGCATAGGCATTCATATATATCCTTCCTTTTTATACAACGAAGGTTTCCTGCTTCTTTCTCTTACTGCTGGCGTCGTAGGGTTTAAATATATGACTGCTGGAGCTGCATTGGTTACGTGCGGATGGGATGTTAGGCGAGCAGCGGTTATGGCGATTGGGATGGCACAAATTAGCGAGTTTGCATTTGTACTCGGCAGTCGTGCTAAAGCTGCTGGCATCATCTCGCGTGAAGTGTATTATTTGTTGTTGACAACAACATCGTTGAGTTTAGTGGTGACTCCAGTATTGTGGAACATTTTTGGGTCAGGACAAGAATCATCCCATCGTACAACCAAAGATGGTGAATTTCCACTTCCACTTCCATTTTCTGCCAATAACAGTGGGAAATATGAATGATTCAATAATTAATTATTAAATATTTTGGTGCTCGGTGAGAATATTGTAATATTATAGAGCTTGGCGCAGAATATCAAATATTTAATTATTCCAAGACATTTTATCATGTCAAGGAATATTGTGATATAACGTATCTATTAATTTTCTTACTCATTATTATAGAACAAAGAGAATATAATAATGTCTCCCGTGTATACTAACTAAATAAATGAAAAAGAGATTCCATCGCAAAATTTAGTATCAATCTCAGACTTTTATAAAGTGAGGCCGATTCCTTGTTGCTCAGGATTTTTTTATTAATTTGCGGATTGCAATTCCTAATAATTGTCTTGCTGTATCCATAACTAATATTTTAACTTATTATTATCGAGCATATTCAATTTCCGAAGCTATTGAAATGCCGCTCCATGACATCAAATGACTTGAATACTGCGTTCTCATAAAAACGATTCCGCTCCCAGCACGAAGCTGTAGCGTTTGAATATTAGCCTTACTATTCCTTATTTCGTATTGTCTTCAAAGCTGTGGGGAAATATGTGCGAGGAGACTGTTCCTGAGAAGGTGGCCAAAATTGGTTAGGCATCGAACTGTAAATCCGTGTAAGTTCATGAGTAACGGTTTTATTCCGCATATTCTAATAAATGTTCCTCAACAGAATCTGGGAAGTCTCAAACCAATCATCATCTCCGATAATTGTATACATTGTGGTTAAAAAATGTCGTGAATTGAGGAAACCATCGATTTCATGTGTAGATTACACGCATAATAAAGAATACTCATTTATCATTATCAATATTTCATTGCTGCTGTTGTTTATCAATGCTCGTTTCCAAGACGGAGGAACTTATTCTACATAAAATTCATCTCTCAAAGTCTGTCAGAACGTGAATTTATCGTTGAATTGGCAATGATCGTATAACATGATTATTTGTAAAATAATACATATTTAAA